AGACTTTTCCGACCGTGAAACAGTATTTACAATCTTCTCCAGAAAACCTGGTGTCAAATATTTAGTGATATCCACGGTATCGCTCGCAGTACACCGCCCATGAATTTCACAGAGACGTGCGATTATTTTCGCTGGATTTCTCCCGCGGGACCTTCTTCTGCAGTACCGAGGTCCTCTTCGATCGTGTTTCGTCCGATCGTGAATTATATCCGATAGAGTAGATAAATAAATGAAATCTCTACCTACAAATAAATAGATAAATGTACTCAATTGGTTACTAAATTACTTAAAGTGCTCTCGAAATATCACTGTTACATTAATATTGTAGTAAAAAAAATAATAGTATTTTTCGAAAAGAGGAAGTAAACTATTTTTTTTGCAACTTCTGAAAAATCTTCACTTTGTACAATTCAATTAATCCTTTATTATTCGCGTAGAGTATTCAATACAGCTTCGTCTTAAATAAATTTTCTAAATGTATGAATACTATACTAATATGTGAATTATCATGTTTAGAGCGCATATTTTCTTACGATTAAACAAAATTTTGTTTATTTGTCTTTAGCTAAAGGAAAGAACGGTTTTGTTGAAGTACACAGTCGGAAAATTTGTATTAAATTTTTCAGTAAAATTAACATTTATGGACTATTAAATTCATACGCGTATTTCATTCTTATTCATCTCTTTCAATAGAATTTAATTTTAAAACGCATTATTTTCATGATGTCTTTATTTACTGATTCATTATGTTATTTTGGCAGTAAGAAATGTTAAATATATTAATTTAACACAAAATATTTAAACTGATATAATACATTATGTTAAATTAACAATAAAATATGTTAAAAATTTAACACAACATTTTAACAAGTCTACTTGAGTGGACCAACATAAATACAAAATGTTTTTACTATCTAAAAATATAGCTAGATACAGATTTGAAAATAAGTTTGATTTAAAATAATTATGTGTAGGTTGCTTAAATTGGTTGTAAGAAATTTGTGCAGCATTAATATCAACGCTCAAACGTTTTTCATAATTATTTTGATGATCCAACAAAATTATTTTTAGATTTGTATCTTTAATTAAATTTTTAGATATTTTGCAATAACACTCTTTATGTGTAGAATATTATCAATCTTTATTTAATTGTAAATCAAAGAGAGAGAGAGAGAGAGAGAGAGAGAGAGAGAGAGAGAGAATAATTAAAATTGAGATATATAATGTTAGAATGTCAGAAACACCCCACGCGAGTAATTACGTTAAAAAAAATCACAAGAGTAATATAGCGTTAATGATGTCACGAGACTGTCGTGTTGTCGTGATCAGCTGTGCGCAAAGCGTTTGAACGGAGGGACGAGTGAAAAGGATCGTTGGAAAAATGCGAGTCGGGCGAGTCGAACTGTAACGGAGGGTGGTTACTCCCGTTGTAAAAGCGGCCGTGCGTATGCACGAGTCGCCAGGTTGTGTGTGGACACGATCGATAGCGAATGAAATCTAAAGCGGCCTACGACGACACCGCCATTGGTTTGCTACTCATAAAACAAGGCGTCGTTCCAGACAGGCGGGACGTTTAGGTTCGAGGTCGCTCCTGCAACCCTCCGTAACCCGTGAACTGACTCACGACGAGACGTGGCTTCGTTTCTCCCCTGACTTTCTGAAAGCACAGCTTGATGCTGCCGATAATCGATACCAAGAATCACTCTGTTTTGTACAAAATTATAGTAGCTCTTAGAGTTTGAATAAAATGCAGAGAGTAAACGGTGCTTTGGCGAAAATTTAAAATTAATTTAACTTTTAATGGCAATTTTATATTAAATCCAATTATATATGTAGAATTACTTATTTTAATAATATTAGAAATAAAATAACGACATTTGAGTTAAAAATGTTTTTATGATATAATTAAGAAATCATATTATTCGGAAATTTAAAAATTGATATTAGCTCGGTTAACTATTAATTTGGTCTATATTTGTTGTATGTTTCATTCGCCGAATATATCTCACAATGATTAATTTTATTAAAGTTGAGCTTAAAATTAGCTGAAATACGGAATATAACTGAATTATTTAATGTATCATTAAAATGACATTGAATAACAGAATAGAACAACTTTGCCAATTATATACTGATTTTAATCTTTTACAACATAGAGCTTTCGAAAGACACCCTTCTCAAATTGCTCATGTCAGGCATTTTCATTTTTCCGGTTCAGTGTTTTTCGAAAATCAACTCTCCCACGTATGTCGACAGGATGCAAGGGCCGAAAGGGTATTTGGCCGTCGGGGGAAGAGATTTCTGTGGCGAAATTCTACGGGCGTGCCGACGGATTTTCCGTGCGCAGAGTATCGACGGAAAAACCGAGAGAGTGCCGGATAATGTTACAGAACGGAGATAGTGCAAGCAATGTCGGGGGAGAACAAAGGGAGTAAGAAAGTATTGCGGTTGTCAGAGATTAGATGTCGGGAGGCCTCGGGAACAATCTCGATATCGGGGGCAATTACTGGCTCGCTGCAATGAATACGACGTTCGTGTCTCATTGGTGTGTAATAGCGTCGTAATTACTTTAAGCTATTGATTCGATAGAATCCACGATCGTCTAAGAATAAACGAACCGAGGGGGAAAAGAGCGACTTTTTACGGTTAATTGCCGCATTACTGTACGATATACTTTTCAAGTAATTGTTATAAGTTCTTATTAAATGCAATCGTACAATTCGTTGTACGATTATACGAAGAATTCGTTCCATGCAGCGTCCATTGACAATGTGGTAGCAAATTTTTTTTATTGCCAATTCGTATCAACCTGCACTTTCTGACGTTTCCATAATGCGAAATTCCTTACCGAAGATGATGCATCTCTCATCACGACGATGTCGAGGGAAAGCTTTCTTCCTTACTGTCTATAAGTAGACTGCCTAATCTTTTTTTCTTCTTTTTTGTGCTCGTCCTTCCCCCTCCCTTCTTGTTCGTTTCTTTTTCCCTCGTATGCTCGAAGACGATTTCCTTCCGCCTCTCGAGAAGCTCTTGGCTAAACGACCGCGTCCCGATGGTTCTATTTCTCGAAAGCTCGAAAGCCCGAGAGGGATCAATCGTTCGCTGGATCCATGCCGTACGCTGAAAGAGCATGGCTAGCTCTTTCGAGACATTTCGATTGTCAAATGACCTCCGCCTCTTTTACTTCCGGCGAAGAGTGCTGCACGAGTATCGTCGTCGACATTCCGAGGGCAATTTAATTAAAGTAACTTCAGTCGGGCGAGAATACGAGAGCTTTCTCTTTTCCTTCGCGAGCTGTTTCTGTTTATTCAGGATCTTCTCCACGCCGATTCGATCTCACACAAAGGTCAAACCCTTGCCAGCTCATCCGGCGGAATACAACCGCATGCGGTCTCTTTGACACGAATGCGTTTTTGTTCTCTGCCTCCAATTTTCCTTCGTCGACCACTTTCAAAGTCTTTGTGTAATGCCCGCACAACTGCCGTTATTTCTGTTTCCGCAAGTACTCGACTCTAGCTGGAATAAATTAATCCTTCCATCCTACATGTATACGGTTGAAAGTTGCGGCAGCATCGAAGTGATTCCTCGTCAAGGAATACATGTAGAGAGACTGAGTAAAAATATCTCTTCTTTTTTTTTTTTAAACAAAACATTTATGCTAAACGCGATATGAAGCGCAGAATAATTCCACGCTCTTTTCATTTCAAATGTCAGACGTTCGTTAATCCCCTATAGGCAGGCCGTCTTTTAAACAACAGTTTTCTGATACAACGTTGTTTGTGAGAAAAATGCCTTTAACGCGACCGAACGCCCGGCGGGACATTAATCAAGTCTTCTCTATTGCTCTGGTATTTATTTTCTTTTGGTCGCGAAAAATAACAGCAAAATTGCTTGACACGAATCCTAAAGCGGAAGACTTGTCCAAGTGAAACGCGACACGATGTTCCGAAACGTGGTGAACTAACCTCAGGGCCGATGAACAGCCATTTCGAGGTCGTAAAATTCTCAGAAGTGTCTCTCTTAAGTCGGTAACAACGAACAGAACGTTTATGTCTGTTCCACCACTCGGTTTAACTGTCTCAGTATCGAGGAGTGTAATAAGATTACTCGAGAATGACGGAAGAACGCGTACTGGATGAGTCTATATCAGGCAATAATCTTTAAAGATATCAAATTATTTAATCAAGTGAGAGTGATATGGCTCGCGCCTGAATTTATTAAGTGCTGTATATCTTTCATTAACCCAGCACCGGTGATCTTTCTCTCTCGCGAGGAAGCTGAGAAAATTATTCCTCTTATCCGGGCTTATTAATCAACTTCCCGACTAGCTTCGCTTTTCTCTCTGGGCGAAAATCTCATTTGAGGGTGACACGTAACGAAGATTCGAACCGACGAATTAATTTCCACTTAATGTGGAAAGAGAGAGAGAGAGAGAGAGAGAAAGGAAAAAGCGAAATCGGGAAATAACGCGTCCGCAGAAGAAGCGTTTGAGGCACGAATCTCCAAGTCAATCGCTACCGGAGTAACAGGATGTCCCAGAAATTTAAATATGCCCTTTTCTTCCTCTTTTTATCCGGGAAAGATACGAAAGAGAAAGATGCGATCGATTTTATGTTAATCTTGACGTAAATTTCGCCCACAAAAGCAATCATTCTTGGAGCGGCACGACGGTAATAGATTTGCAAATAACAGCGACATTTTTACGTATCCGTCATAGCGTGATTTATTATGTGATTCCGCTTCGAAGACATATTCTCGTAATTCACGTTCGCCTTGGAGTACGCTCAGGCGCCAACTTGGATGTTAATCTCCGATTAATTGCGGGCGAGTGCCTGCAGCAATCGCGCGAATCATTTCGTAATGTAACTAATATAACCCGTTAAACCTCGTGACATTTAAAGACGGCTTACGGAATTCGAAGTAATTATCGTTCTCTCTCTCTCTCTCTCTCTCTCTCTCTTATCGGTCTTCATGGTCGTTCCCGGCATTGTGTGTTTCAGGTCTCCGTAAGGTATATCCTTATTACTTTACCTTCACGACATTCACGAAAGGTCGATGGGTCGGCGAGAAGATCCTGGAAGTCTTCGCGAGGGAATTTCGTGCCCATCCAGCCGAGGAATACGAGAGATGTATTCGCGCCGGCACCCTAACGGTCAACTATCAAAAGGTGGACGTCGATTACAGATTACGGCACAACGATCTCCTGGCTAATGTTGTCCACAGGTATGTGACCATATCGCTTTTTCTCGCGTAATTGATTTTTACGAGCGTTTGTCACCGCCGTCATCGTCGTCGTCGCCGTCGTCGCCGCCGACGCGATAGTCTGTTCTTCGCGATTTCTCGCGGCAAATGTCAAACGACTATTGTTGAGAAAAACATCGTCGACTCTCGAAAGTTTGATAGAATCGCGAAAATCGACAACGCCGAGCTGTGGATTAAAGGAGAAAGCTAGAAACTTTGCGTTTCGTTTCTTCACGGAAAGAATGGATTTGCTAAAGAGTGTTTAAAAAATTAATTATTATAAATAGATGTGTAGATTTGAAAATAAGTTTGTTGAATCATCCAAATTATTATGTAGCATGTTTAATTCTAGAATGCTATAACGATGCGTAAATATGTATATACAAGTGAGCGAGAACATTGAGCAACACGGAAAGAATTTTGCGCTAGAGAAAGAACTTAAAGTATTTAAAAATTTAGGGTGTGATTCACTTAATGTTGCAAATGCTTTATTGATTAATTAGAAGAAAGAATTTTACAACTAATTAAAGAATGCTTTAAAGCATTTGCAATAAGTGGATCGCATTATTAGCTAGATGCAGATTTGAAAATAATTTTGTTGTACCACTAAAATATAATAATTTTATTTGTGTGAGAAAGTATGAAAAACTTGTATATTATTTGCATTAATTTGGAGTGATTTATTTCTTTATACGTAAAATCGATTGTAATACTGTATTATTTAATAACGATATTATTTTAGGATTAAATATTGATGACAATGCTGCAAAAACATTCTATTAATGAATTTGAGTGTCCTACATAATTATTTAATTCAAACTCCATATTTAATTCAAACAAAATTATTTTCAGATTTATATCTAGCTTTTTTAAATACTACAACAAAATAATTTTTTCGTATATTTAATCATTCGTTATAATATTTATACACGTACAATATTTGATCGCGAGTACGCCATATTGCGACACATAGAAGCGAATATTATTCGATATTTTTTCTTCTTTTCTTTAACAAAGTTACGTAGATTTTAGGCGCATATTTAAAATGGCATTTCATAATACCGAAGTGTTGTACTTATTATTGGATAAAAGGCACGTGCTTTTATCCATTTATACAGGGCGCACGCTACGTATAACATCGGGTTCTCGGTACCGCTTTAAATCCCCTTTTTCTTGGTTGGAAGCTTGTTTATCGGTCGATGCGGGAATTTCGGCCGACGTTGGGCAAACTCCGGCGTACATATTTAACGAAGCCTATTGGCCCCGTATAAATCCAGGTTAGCTTCCGCAGGAATTTACTTTGATTTCAGAAGAGCCCCGGGAATTTGGCGAATCTTGTCAGGCGCGCACAAATGAGATCGGGTTTAATTTCGGGAATTTCTGGGTTATCCGCTTGAAGCTTGTTTCATCCGCGCAAAACGTAATGTATCATTGTGATCGACAAGTTATATCGCACTGAGAAGGATTATCTTTAGCTTGCATATAGATTTTTAGCTATAGTGTTCTCGTCTAAATCGCGATTATATTCGCGAGGCTGGAGATATGACGTAACGAAATGCAATCGACAGCCAAGCCGAGCTGTGTTTGCGCGTTATGTTGTATTATGCGGGAAGGTATCTAATGCGGATCAAATTTAGTTGATTTACACGAGACGGAAACGCATGCGTGGAAAGCGGCTAAAGCGGGCAACATCGGATTAGTGCCGGGATTACATTGGTGCTTGAAACAGAAGTCTAAAATGCATAATCCGTATATAAACGGTTTAATTCGCTCACGCCAGAGCACATCCGTTATTCATAATGCGGGAAGATGGACGGAAGCCGAGAGTATATTCGCATTTTCCTATCATAACTGTCTGTAATATTTCGAGATACCTCAAGTAGACCAGGGAGTCATTCAATTTTTTATCTTGAGCGGGAACGTGAAAGATGAAAAGTTTGTATGTATACATATGTATATACATGTATATACATACATAAAAATGCCGGAGAATTACGAGTTATACCCGTGTCGTGATCCATTGCTAATAGCATTACACGGCGATAACCCGTAAGCCCTCTGGTATCTTTGAAGTAAATTCCCGTGGAAGTCTCAAAAGCACACACAGAAAAATACTTACCGCACGCAAGTAATTTCTTGTTTCAAGTATTGCAAATGTTTATATATTCGCAAATCCATCGTTTATCACAAGTATAAGATTTATTAAATTTAAATAAATTCTGGTTGTATACAAAATCGCTTCTTATATTTTATAATTAATTTTATATTTTTCAAAAAAAAAAAAAATTTGTTTTAATAATAAGTCTTTTTTTAATTTTTGTAAGTATATTTTAGGATTATCAAGAAATATTCTTCATTAAAGATAACCGTTACTTGAAAGGAAGACAATAAATTGAGTAATCATTTTCTTAGCAGTAGAATGATATTTTTTTGTCTGCGTAACAAAAATTTTTACTTTTTCGCGTTAGAGGAAAAGATACACCGATTGATCTCTTGGCGGGCCGTCTCTTTTGACTTTGTAAAGTAAAACAGGATGCGATCGACGAAGGTCCATAACGCGCAGGAAACGCGCGCAACGATGGCGTGCGGTCGAAAGGCGCGGCGCGGCGGTAGGTCCAACGAACTCGTAAATCGTCCGCCTCTCCTTACTCGAAGCGGTGTGTAGATAAGAGGAGCCTCGGTGAATCCTCCTCACGTGCGCACGAGGCCGGGAACCACATGGCTGGGACTTGTGCGATTATCCTTGGCACGGATATATAAGAATCTAGTATACCGCGAGTGCACACGCCGCGCTCTCTCGCTCTCGAGCGCGTTTTTAAACGCACCAACGCTTAACGAGGTATCAGCGTGGTTATCGCAGGAACATGGATACACGTCGAGTATATAGCTGCTTCTGTGCTTCGTCGTTCCAAGATAAGCGCGCGGAGGAGTCTCGAGATTCTGCGAACGTCTCGCAAAGATGAATATGTCGTATTTCGAGTGGAAAAAAAGATGCGAATGAAGTAAGCTTCTCCTCTGCTTCTTTCCTCCGCTGTCATTTCGTCGCGAATGCAGCAGTTCTCGTTGACGCTGACGTACGAAAGCTGGATTAAATTATTTCACGTCTCGCGCGCACGCCGCTAATACGGTCTGCCCGCTTGCATGCTAATTCCGGCAATTATCCTGGCAATTGTACTTTTCAGGCGCGCGCTCACGACACGCGGACTACTCGTGTCCTACATTTCGCCGCGTGTCTCCAACATCGTTATAATGGCAAATTCCGGAGTTAATTCGTAGCTCACGAGAACGATATTTTTTTCCTCCACGTCGATTTTTCATGTCGACGTACAAGCTGGCGACGGTAAAATGTATCTCCGTACAGAGGTTTTTGCGCGTCGATGGAGTTTCCGATGGGCAAGCGAAGTTACCCGGTGAAAACCGGATGATAGAATAGTCGCCTAACTGCCAGTAATAAACAATGAGATTCATGCACGGGAAGAACGATTTTGCTGAAATATCTGAAAATTTGAAATTAAATAAAACTCTAGCTTCCTCTTTAAAATTTAAAGTTAAATTTATAAATGTGAATTAGTGAATACCACATTACATTAGTTTCAAGTATGCCACTGAGTAATGAAATTCGATTGAAAAAGAAGGAAAGTTTAAATATTATATGATAAAATACTGATATTAATACAGTTTCAATAGTATATATATTGAATTGACATATTAAAGCAAGGGATTGGCTAGAGATTCCATATTTCATTGAATTTTTAGCTGAATTTCATTGTAAGTTCATTGATTATCAATGGCATACTTAAGTCTAATTATCAATGATTATTCACTGATTCAGATTTAACGAGTATTGTCAAATTATATCCATAGTTTAAAATATTTTTATTTATATCTGCAAAATGTGTCTCCACCGTTCCTACTCAATATGTTGTTAATTTGACTAAAACAATGGACTTGAACAATTTAACTCAAATAGCACAATTTAACTTTAAAAGATTTTTGAATATTCCAGCAAAACACTTCTTTCCGTGTGGCGTGACGTTATTAGGAAATTTAGAAAAAGACGCATTTCTGAGATAAGTGGAGAGACTCCTTCGATCACGCGGAAACCTGGACCTCATCGAGAACAATTGTGTGATTCTTTGCAATTAAAGCTGCTTGCCTTTTAAAAGATACAGTTGACACAAGTGTTGTACTTTTTCAATGAATAACAAAGCTAGACGACGCTTGCGTCACTTGTGTCTTTTAAAAGGAAAAGCAGCTTAAAATGCTTGATTGTTCGAGTGTCGGAACGTCGTTGATCGTCACGTGATACCGCGAGACACATTGTCTTTCCTACATGTGGAAACACGGGATTCCACGATTAAAATGGCATCGCAAATATAATCTAGGTCAGCTGTGGGAGTCCGCGATGCACATCGGTACGACCAGCAGTGGTATCTCCCGTTCGTATTTACGTTATCGGAACAATTACGTTACGCGCGTGTTGCATAAAGACAGAATACAAATATGAGGAGGAGTAGAGAGGAACAACATCGCCGAACCGAGCGTGGATTGTTATGATAGCCGAACAATTGCGGAGATGGATGGAAAGTAAATTGGCGGCCTGCAACACCACCTGTGTTGGTGACGTTACGTCGTTTTGTTGTCATGTTTCGATACGTTGATGTGACGCGCAAGTTTCGCGAGCGCGTGGCGCTTGCGGAAAAAGAACATTTTCTGGCGAGAATACGCTTGAGGAAACGCATTGTGAATTTTCGCGTCGAAGAAATACACCACTGCGGCGCACTTTGCGTTACCAGTAGGTACACTTGTATCGTTCTTGTAAAAATAATTGTACCTTCACAGTTGGAAATTTTTTATTGAAGTTAACACATCTTACACGTTTCAAAGCGTCTAATAAATTTTTTGTTAATTTAACACAAGATGAATGTTAATTTTAATACAAATATTACGTAAAATAAATTAACACAAAAATGTAATGCTGA